GCGGCATCCATGTTGTCATACTGCGGGCTGCGACTGATGACAACGCCGAAAGCCTGCAGCATGCAAAATACACTTTATCGGCACCTGAACGCGTGCTCTAGGACGCAATGTCGATGCACGTCTTTTTGGTGTCCGTACCTGGACACGAAACAGGCGGACACACATGTCCACTGGAACACGCGAGGTCGAAGCCTTCCACGTCTTCATGGCTACCCCCGCGCACCCCATTATTTTGAAAAGGTGCGATACCCACTCTGCAGTCGGATGTGTGCGAGCTCATGTGTTCACGCATCAACATAAAGGCGAAGTTCGGCACATGCAGCACGAAAACATGACATCTATATATATATATACACACACATAACTTGAAACCATACCTCCATGAGCGAATGGTTCAGAACAGGGTTGAGCTGCAGAAAGTCGCCGGACATGATCTGGCACAAGATATCACCAAGTGCATGCTCCTGGAAGTCGGTCACATCCTTTAGTCCGGCAACTTCCTGTCGACCCCAGCCAGCGCACGCATTCAGAACGGCAAGCAAAGGAGGCGGAGCCAAAGAAATCTCGTCGATGAAGAGCAGAGCCAGCCGCGCCCATCGCCGAACCAACGCCGCCATACGCGACTTGCTCGGCTTTTTGATGGCCAGCGCCTGATTCCTCGTAAGCCCTGCCAGATAATGGAAAGTACATCCGCGAATCAGACGAGCTGCCGAGTTCTGCGCAGCCACGCCCCTGGCACACGACGGCAGATATTGTTCGTAGACCGGAAGCACCACTTCCGTCAGCATGTACGTCTTTCCGCTACCTCCGGGCCCATGGAAAAACATCCGACCGACCATGTCCTCGGTTCAACACTACATTATATGCAATATTAAAACTGTGAGTACGCAAAGGAGCACGCAAAGGTTCGCATGTTCCGAAGTCACGCGCCCATGCCCTCCTCCACCGATCAAGCACTCTCCCCACATGAGCGCAGATGCGAAACCACACACACACACACACACACACACGCACAGTGGCCACTGATGTGTATGTCACACACAAACACAGAACATTGCATAGTAATCCAAGGCACGGACTTGACCAAAGGGAGCAACGCTCCCAACTCGTCGGCGCGACCGAAGGCACACCGTAGCCCTGCTTCACCCGCTGCCAACCACAAACTCTGCAGCGGCGCCACAGCCAGAATCACAGCATCGTACTGGTCCGCTGGAATTGCATAGCCACCACCAACTTGAGGAGCCGGGAGACGTTGCTGAAGTCGCTCCATGGCATACGCTGCCGGCGACTTGATCTCCACCCAACGTTCGATGGCCTCGCCGGCCACTTGGTTCGAAGGGTGACCCACATCGGAATCGTCGGCTGATTCCTCGGATCGCATGTCCAAATTCTCTTCCTGCGCCTTCCGACGCGCTTGTACTTCTTGCTGCGCAGCAAGAGCAGCTGCGTTGGATCGATGCAAATCGCCGATCTTGTCAGGCCTTCCATGGCACCGCCTCGCTTCGCGAATAGCCTCGTACTTCAACGCGAACTGTTCGATGAAAGCTGCAGAACGCTTGGCCGACGCAGACTTGCGACCTGGTCCTCGCCCAAAACAACACCAAATCGACCCTGTATCACAACATGTCTCCCGTCTGTGTGCTCCCTGGACGATCCGTCGTGCCACCGCTCGCACAGCCGACGGGGTCGATGCCTCCTGTCTGCGTGCCTTAATATTTATATCAAACTGCGTGCCCTAATATTTATGTCAAACACGAAAACAAAATGATCAGCAAGCATGTCCTGATGGCAGATCCAGACGATGCACAGATGAAACCACGTCGTTCTGCTTGAGCTTCAAGACCGGCTTGTACCGCAGCTCTAGACGAAGAACAGATTGCGACTCAGCA